CTTATTCACATATGACCCGTAAGTTATCGAAATTTTTTCATCTTCAATTGATTTATGGTCATGTGTCAAATATTTCTTATTTAAAAAGTTTTTTACATTGCGAGTGTATATCCTTAGTGCTCCTTCATAAGGAAATAAAATGAGCAATTAAAAGAGATTGAGAATATATGTTAGATTTGAATCCTCTTCGATAATTCAATCTCTTGATTCATGAACAAGAGAAAATTTTCTATCGCTCGATTTATCAACTCGTCATTTTGATGAAAAAGTTTTTCCAACACTCGGGGAAGAGAATAAACAAAATAAGCAGATTGAAAATGTTAAAAAAAAAAGATTACACGAGTACTCAATCTTTATATCAATTTGGTACAAAACAATGTGAACTAGAAGTTCAAAAGATAATTCTTTTACAAGGTATTACAAAACCAACTCGCTAGATGAATTCTTATATCCTAAAAGTGTAACTAAAATGCATGTCCTCGTTGAAAATGCTTCTATTAGAATTGATGTCCTAGAATGACAGCTATTAATATCATAGCTAATGAATTTAAAGCATGCCCGAAGCGTGAAAAATCGATCGGTTATAAAGAAAAAAATCCCTAAAGGAAAAGGGCAAGATGAAAATATAAAGGATGTAGATATTTATAAAATGATCCAAGATATTTTTGATAATAAGCTTTTATTCAAGGTATTTCTCTCCTCGATTTGGACACCTATGTGCATATGATATAATCACTTCAATGATTATTTGTTAAAAGAAAGTTATAAAAAAATAACTTTATTTGTTCATATATTTTTATTTAAAAAGATGTTTGTTATATATGTTGATAACTTAGATATTATTAGAACTCCCGAAGAGATTTCAAGTGTCATAAGTTATCTAAAAAGAGAATTTGATGTGAATACCTTGAGAAAACAAAATGTTATCTCGACCTACAGTTCGAGCACTCGGAGAATGAGATTTTTATTCATCAATCAATTTATATAGAAAAAATTTCTACAATGATTCTATATAAAGATCATTCATTGACTAACCCAATGGTAATTCATTCACTTGATATTCAAAAAGCATCTTTTCGACCTCGAGAATATAACGAAGAACTACTTGGTCCCGAAGTACCATATCTTATTGCCACCGATGCATTAATATATCTTGCTAATAATACTCGACTTGATATAGTCTTTTCTATAAATTTATTAGCAAGTCATAGTTTTGTTTCAATACAGAGACATTGAAATAAAGTTAAATAAATACTACGTTATCTTCGAGAAATAATTGATATGGACTTATATTACTCCAATAAATCAAAGATAAGATTAATTGGTTATGCAGATACAAGTTATTTATATGATCCACATAAATCTTGATCACAATCGATTATATATTTACATATGGAGATACGACTATATCTTGACGTTTTACGAAACAAACTATAATCGTCACATCTTCAAATCATACGAAATATCAATTCACGAGGCAAGTCGATAATGTATTTGGCTAAGATCAATGATCCATCATATCCGAGAGACATGCGGTTTATCTATCAAGAAAAGAAGACCAATAATATTATATGAGAACAATGCTCGTTTGTATAATTCTATTAAAGGAATAATACATTAAAGAAACAATCCAATAGATTTATTCACTAAAGCATTAGCTATGATAACTTTTGAGAAAATGATTCACAAGATTGAAATACATCATATTAGAGATCTCAAATGATATTTTCAACGGGGGAGGCCAACATTAATATTAACGTGTATAAGAAATATTATACTCTTTTTTCTTCACTATGATTTTTTTTTCATTGGGTTTTTTCCTAGTAAGGTTTTAACGAGGTATATTTCTTGTACAATGGACATCCAGGGGAGTGTTATGAAACAATGAATGTCCATCATCATGTTCATCTACTTTTCATATCCCTACTACTTATGATTCTTAATATGATTCAATTCATCATTCAATATGAGAAATTAAAAGGGTGATGTAATTGATTATTCATAGTCCCTTTCAATTCTCTCCTCAATTTTGAAGCCTATATATAGGCTTGATTGTCCATTAGTTGGTGTACAAAGTTTTCTAGAGAGAATAAGAGAAACTTTGAAATTCTTGTCACTTATATTCACATTATAGTGATTTCATTTTCTTGTCATTCTTTCTTTTAATTCTCCTATAATTTTTATTTATTTTATAACAATTAGTTTTTTTTTTCCAATAATGTTAATCAATGCAATAATGATAAACGATCAAATTTGTATATGATAGATATTTTAAATAAAACTACTATAAGTCGTCTTTTTATAGTTTTCATTACCAAAAAAATAAATACGATGGTATTATCTCTAAATTTAAAAAACACATAGAGAGTATAATTTTGTCATGAATAACAAATTAAAAGGGAAATATATAAAAATAAATGAATTTTAAAGAGAAAAACAATTAATTATGGCCGATCCTTAAAAGATCACTATAGTAATTATTTGAGATAATTTGATTTTTAAATATCCAAATTCATTAATTATTAAGTAAATATAAATACCATGATGTTTATCCTATTCAAATTCATTAGTTTTTAAGCAAATACAAACATCAATGATGTTTATCTCTTTCTTTTATAAGTGCATATATTAATATCATAATCAATAGATTGTATGTTACTATTGGTTACGTTGATTATTTAAGTGTTATTTTTAAGAAAATTTACACAATGTATGTAAAATACTTAAAAAGTTAATGCATCTTTCGTGTATTGTATAACTTTCAAGAATTGTCATATTAATATCATCTTATGTTCATAATGTATTCACACTCCATAAAATTATATATGAGCCACTTTGATCAAAATTCTTGCTATAATCTTATATATCGTTAGACACAATATAAATTATATTGCCATAATGTCATAATTTAGTTTTCTCTTAATCCATGATCATACACAAAAGAATAAATTTGATTAGAATTTTTGGGACTATTATATACTTATACTTTTAATGAACAATTATTTCCCAAACAATTTATATTACACACTCTCAATAAATTAAATAATCTTAATTATAATTATAATTGAGTCTTATTAACTATTATTTCTTTTATTTTTTTAATAACATAAAAAACATATAATTATCGGTTTTCGAAACACTAAGACTGGATGATTTTTATTTTTAATTATCAATATCAGTCATCAATTTTGTCGTAAGCAATTTCCTTATACTTCAAAACAATTATTTTCAAATTATATGATATTTTTAATTATTATATAAATTAGTTTTAACAAATTTATTTTGAATATTTTTTAGATAATAATAATTTTTTTAATTCATGAATATACATACGAGCTAACATAAAGGAGTTTTTTTAAAAAAATAAGATATTTTTAAATCTTATTTCTTAAAATAAGATAGTTTTAAACTTAATTCCCGTAACAAGGTACTATGTGCCAACTAGCATCCATTTGAATTAAATACAATGACATGTCAGATTTTATATATATATAAAATAACACGTCAGTTTGTTTTTTTCCCTGAAAATTAAGTTATCCCCGTTTTTATAACCAAAAATCTCTTTTGTTTTCCAAAGAAATGACTGATTTAAGTCTCTGCCAAAAGAACAATAAAATTTGTATCAAACCTTCTAAAATCAAGAACCCTCTCATCCTACCCCCTCTCTCGTTTCTTTATTTTCAGTCTCTGCCAAAAGAACAATAAAATTTGTATCAAACCTTCTAAAATCAAGAACCCTCTCATCCTTCCCCCTCTCTCGTTTCTTTATTTTCCAATTTTTATAGAGAATTTAGCTTTGTGTTTTTGAAGATTTTAGTTCCTGATTATTGATTTTTGAGTCCCTTTTTCACTTTATATTGGGTTCACGTTCAGTTAAATTGTGACTTTCTGTTACCATTACAGCAAAAAACTTTGATGGTAAGACCCTTTTTTCTTTCTTTTCTTAGAATGTTTTCAATTTGCTTGTGAAAATGATAACTTTTCCTTTTGGGGGTGTTTGTTTGCTGAGAAAAACGTGGAGAAGATAATAACTGACTAGGATGTGATCCAAAGCTTGTCTCTTGAAGTTTGTTTTCTTGTCAAATTGAGTTAAGTTTGGAAACGCTGTTTATTTGGTACAATTGTTTGGGCATTTGTTTGTTTTGATAAGATTTGGATCTTTGATCTTATTGATTTCAAGTACAGTGGAAAAGGATAAAAAAACGAGATGGCTCTATTTTGCTTCATGGGTTTTAGGTTGCTTGCTTCTTCAAAGTTATTTCTAGTCTGTTTGAACCCAATTACTCTTTTTCTTCGCATTTCTTTTTTTCAAGTTTTATATCATGTGTGCTGGGAAAAAAGTACATCACTTTTTTGCCACTAACACAATCCATACAGTTCAAGTTTCCTGCTGTTTTTAACTTTGGTGATTCAAATTCTGACACTGGCAACCTTGTTGGGGCTGGCATTGAAAGCATTAGACCACCTTATGGGGAAATTCACTTCCATATACCATCTGGGTGATACTGTGATGGCCGTCTCATTATTGATTTCCTCAGTAAATCTACCTCAACCATTAAAAATTTCCATGCTTTTTAGTTTATAATCATGTCAGCTCTGTTTTTATGCTCTGTATTACCCTTCTTTCAGGAAGAGAAGCTTTTTTTTTTTACCTCCGTTTCCTCTGTTCTTTTTTCTGTTTTCTTGCTCTATATTCCCTTGTTTCCTCTGTTTTTGTGATGACACGGTGTCCATTTTCTTGTTGATATATGGTATGATTGCTCCTTTTGTGTTCATTACCTATCTTTTTTTATGAATTTTTAGGAGCTGATTGATGTTAAGTGCAAGAATTGATAGAAAATAGCAATGCTGTTAGAAGTACAAGAATCCAAAATCTTTTTTTTTTCAGTGTTTTTATTCTTTTTCAATGCTCACATACTATTTCCTCTGTTTTCAAGCAGAAAGTATTGCACAATTTTATTTTCTTTTATTCATTTGGGTTTTGATTTTCAGTGGATGCAATGGAGCTTCCCTTCCTAAATGCATATTTGGAGTCAGTTGGAGTACCGAATTTTCAAAAAGGATGCAACTTTGCAGCTGCAGGATCAACTATACTTCTAGCAACAGCAACATCAGTTAGCGCATTTTCGTTTGGGGTTCAAGTGAATCAGTTTTTAAGATTCAAAGCTCGGGTTCTTGAATTGCTGGCCAAAGGTATGTATGTACACGGTCCACTCTAATGTAAGCCATGTTTTAGGAGAAATTGATTGGCAGTGATGGGAATTCAGTTTGTTGAAATCTAGGGAGATTCTAAGCTGAAGTTTATGTCTGAAGTATTGTAAGAAGTGTAACAACTTTTCATAGATTTTTCATGTTTTAAACTCTGCAACAGGTAAGAAATTTGATAAATACATCCCAGCAGAAGATTATTTTGGGAAGGCGTTATACATGTTTGATATAGGCCAGAATGATCTCGCTGGTGCATTTTTTTCAAAAACATTTGATCAAATAGTTGCATCAATCCCCAACATTTTGGCCAATTTCGAATTTTTGGATCCACAACACCGGTCCTCTTGGGTGCTTGCCTCAAAAAGTTTGCGAAATTCAGAACTGATTTATCAAAGCTGGATGAGCTCGGATGTGTAAGTGGGCATAATCAAGCAGCTAAACTTTTAAATTTGCAGCTTCATGCTCTCACTAAAAAGCTGCAAGGCCAGTATGCGGATTCAAATGTCACATATGTTGATATTTACACAATAAAATCCAACCTCATTGCTAATTATTCTCGATACGGTTAGTATGCCTTAGTTCCTTTATGATGGGAATTTTGATGTTTTTTAGATTATCATCTTCTTCTTATCAAAAGAAACGGAAAAGGATAAGGGAAGGAAAGATACTTGAACGAATCTGGTACGGCTAAAATTCAAAAGCTAGTTCATAAACGTGAAGAGATTGCAGAACAGGTGCACCACCTAACAGTTGAAGTGGGCCCTTTTTCTCCTGTAAAGAGTTTTTCGTGTTGCTTTTGTCAATGTTATAGCTCCAGTTTGTGTTGTTGCTAGTGTTAGTATGCCATGCTCAATCATGTTTCGAGCTACTTCTGTTGTAGAATGATCGTTTCTGCTTTTCTGAGAGAGATTTCTTGCTTGAGTTCTAGGTTTTTTTTTCCCCTTGCATCTGGTTCAAGAGCTGATTGAAACAAAGAAAACTCATAAAAAAAAATAATAATAAGATGTTGATTTTAATTTCTACAGTACTCTTAAAATTTTACAAATAATAAATAATAAATAATCTTGAATGTTAACTTTAAATTTAATAAAGTTGCATTTATAGATAAAAGAATCGACTAATTCAAATAATTGTACTGCATAGTCTTAGAATAAATTGCACTAAAGTATGAGAAAAATAAATAAAAAGTCATCTTGCTTTTGAATCTGTTATGAATAAATAAAAAGTCATCTTGCTTTTGAATCTGTTATGAAGAATCCTGTGACCAAGAAATCCTTGTTGCACATCATTGTTTGACATCCAAGAGTTATAAGCTGTAAAATATTAAGAAAAAAGATAACAAGTTAGTTGCATATCCACTATAAAGCATGAAATATATTAACTCTGAATTAAAAAAAAATAATTACCATTATTTTGACGGACAAGTTCGACGATCGTGACCCGGTTGTTTACACAATCCACAATGTATTGTGGCCCGACCTTCCCGAATGTCCATCTCATTCCGAATGCGAATAGATTTTGGTCTTCCTTTTTCTTTCGTCGACGATCGGGATCTGAATATAATCTTGGAATACTAGTTTCGGCCAATAATCTTGATGAATAATAGGATGAAACTCGTGGTGCCCATGTATGAAAATGCTCTTGCATACTCGTAATACTTATCAATAAATTGCTAACTATCAAGAGCCAATCTTCCACACACTCGCTAATACATGAGAACATGGAAATTTATAGATTTTCCATTTACCACATGAGCATTTACCATTGTCTAGTTGAACAACTTGTTTATTATGACCCCGTTGCATTCGTTCACCATGAGGTGCTCGTTATTATTTCAAAGATTCCTCTCGTTCTCATTAAATGGAATGAGTTCATGTGCATTAGCCACGCTTAGCTTTGCATTAAGCTTTGCTAGGATATGAGGAGCATAAAGTTTTCCTTCATCAACGACTTCTTTTGAAAGTTTTCGTCTATCATTAAAGTAACTTACCGGTCGATAAAATGTCGGTTGCACACAAGAAGTGATTGGCAAATTACGAGCTCCTTTTAATACACTATTGAATACCTCGGATAAATTAGTCGTCATCACTCCATACCGTCGACCTCCATCGTATACTAATGTCCATTTCTCTTGAGGAATTTCTTCTAGCCATTTTCGAGCATCAAAATTAGATTTTCCAATTTCATCCATAATAGCATTAAACTTCCTCGACTCGATGTGCACTCCCGACTCCGTAAACAAGATTTTTTAAATGTTTGCTATGAAATCCGTCATTAAAATTACTCGTATAAATGCCTTAGGCAAAAACGATGATACGCATAAGGCTCTTTCCATCTTGAACCATGTTCATTCACTGCAGACAAGAATACCGGCATGACGGTTTGATATCAAACAAATACCTCTACGATCGGTGACCTTCTCTCTAATGCAAGCTAGAAACCAACTCCAACTATCAAATGACTCCTCCTCCAAAATAGTAAATGCGAGTGGGAAAAGTTGTCCATTTGCATCAACTCCCATTCCAATCAACATCTTTCCCGTATATCTTCCGTATAAATGTGTCCCATCAATACTAATTATAGGTCGACAATGCTTAAACCCCTCGATAGATGTCTGAAAAACTCCAAAAAACACGTTTAAACAAAGCTAAATTTAGATCTTGTAAAAGATCATAGCGCCACTTTACAATGGTGCCACCATTATATATTTGAATAGCTTTCATAAATTTTGGCAACACTTGATAAGATGTATCCCAGTCACCAAACACCTTTGTGATTGCTTTCTATTTTGCATGCCACATCTTTTTATAAGAAACACCGTAGTAAAACTTTGACTTCACTTGTTCACGTAAAGCGATTATTGAGATAGATGGTTGTACCTTCACTTGACCTTCTATTTCTTGGGCTAGGAATTTTGCATCTAGTTGGCGATGGTCTCGACTAAGACTTGGATAAACACAAGTATGGGCACCGACATATTGCGTAATCTCAAATAATCCATGCCCCTTTCGTTTGAATGCACGAAGTCTCCATTTACACCCATTTTCCCTATGTTGTTTACATCTCAAACTCCATACCTTTTCTTTAGTTTCAAAAACTTCATACTTGTCGGTGTCTCTTGATAGAGTATAATTTTATTGCTCTTCGTAATTCTTCCTTATTTTGAAAGATTAACCCCTTAATCAACTCATCATTAGGATTCCATCTATAATTTTGAGGTAATGAAGTCCAATTACTTACCAAAACAAGTATCTACCCAATCTACATCTTTGAAGTAAGGTGTGTCCGGTTCATGTCGTGGTTGAATCTGCTCATTCACTAAGCCACGAGTTTTCCGAAAAGGTTGCTCTTGTGAATTTACCATACCATCATCACATGTCACATTCATAGCCACACCTTCAACTTCATTATATTCGTCTTCTTCTTCTTCTTCTTCTGATTCTTCATATTCTGTTTTTTCCTCACCTACATCAGCTTCTTCTTCTATTAAGTTATTAGTCACATGCATATCATCAAATATACTAGTACTTTCATGTTCAACCATTTGCTGTATTGTAGTCATATCCACACTTGCATCACTTTCATGATCATATCTATGCACTCGCACCAAGCAATCGAAGAAGTTGGATGATTCGGAGAAGAAACACGATTTCTATCAAAATGTAGAGGAGAATTGAGTAAATTGTTATCTTCTTGAGTGGTCAATTGCCTAAGTACATCCGAACCAATTCCTTGAATATCACACTCAGCTGATTCAATAGGTACAGACTTCTGTCTCAACATACAACTCAATGTTACTAACTGAAGTATAAATAGAAGGAATTTCAAGCATAATGTCTACATCGTTATCATCAACAATACACATGTGAATATACTTGACCATTGATGTCCGTACAACTGTAGGATATCTGCAGATTAACTTCAATTCGAACTTGTTGTTTATCAAATCCCGTAATAGCATATAATTTATCTAGTAACTCATGATATTTGATCATTCGGGTCACCTTAATGGCCTTCCTTGGTGGATTATCGTAACATGGTCCTTCTTCTCCATCAATAATATGTCCATTCCAGGTAGCAAAATATAGGTATATCTCTCGTCAGCCATTACCAACCTGAAAAAATAAAATTTAATGTTACATCAAATTTAACAAAAATATAAAATATAAAACTTATATAATTTGTAGATATTATATGCTAATTGGTTTTCTAAATTTGTATATCACATCTACTAAGTTATTAATACCCATCCATATTAAATTATTTCAATCCTTTCCTGATCAAATGAGAAGATATAATTTTAGACGTTGTACTATATTAATACACATCCATAGAAAAAATTGGAATCCACTGTGAGTTTGTTTTCACATGCTGCAGGCTGGCGGTGATATGATTCCAACTTGGAAACAAGGATATGAAATATGGATTCAAGATATCTATCACATAATATGAATATACACGACTATTCTTGAAACGTACTTTAAATTTTCAAATATTAAATAAATTGGCAGAAAGATTTTTTTCTCAAATGCCGAGGTCTATTGCACTTTTATAGACTGCAACGTATTGACTTATATTTCCAAATCCTTGTCCTATTCCTCTTCACGCGACAGAAGTTACAAAAATACATGCTGCAGCAGTTCATGTGCATAACTAGATAGCTATTGAACTTTTTAATGGCAGTAGGCTTGCAGTCGTTAAAACACAAAAAGCAAAGTCAATTACCCAGAAGAATGCAGTCGTTTTGTGCAATTTATTATCTAAAGGAAGTGAAGGAATTTATCGATATGCTCAGATAAGATTCAAAGCCAAAAATTTATTGCTACGGTTGGAATGAACTTGAACTTCAACCCAGAAATTTTTGAAGACACCAACCACTGGATTGCTCAGAATGCTGATTACGGACTGAATTGATGACAAAATGGTTATGGGATGATTTCCAAACGACCAAAATATTGCTGGTGGGTGTGGATATACTTAGGTTGAGTCCGAAATCCAAAGAATTGATGTCCAAAGAGAGCTGCGGATGAACAAAAACCCAGACAAACCCAGAACGTCAAGTCCCCTGTCCAGAAAATTAATGAAGGAAAATCGAACAAAGCAAAATTAAACCCCCTAAATTGATAATGTGGATCGATAGTCGTAGGTTGATTGTAAATGAACACAAAAAATCAAATAAAAGATTAAGAGACGAAGTCAATTAGGGATGAACTAAAACCCAGCAATGAAGAATACGAAGAACTCTGCCCATAAAACCCAGAATATGCAGTCACTCTTTCCCCTAAAATCACTCAATTTTTGACCATTATCACTTTCTCTTATCTACTCAGAAAGCTTGTTTTCTATACCCAGAATTTCCGTCCCTTACTGTTTCTTCATCCTCCCTCCTATATGTTTGTGTATATATATATATTTTCTTTACCCTGAATTCCCGTCCCTTTCTGTTTCTTCATCCTCCCTCTTTTATATATATATATATAAAGTCAAGTTCCTGGATTGATACCCTGTATATATTCCAGGAACTTGACTTTTCTAATCTTTTTACAACAAGTTTTATTCAGTACTACAGGACAATCGTGTGATAATCAAACAACTCATGTTCAATAGAGACAGTAGCAGTAATAACAAAATAAGAAGAGAAAAGGAGGAAAAAAAGAATTTAAGCCGAGAGAATTTAAGAAATTAAATAAATAAAAACAAAAGAATTTAAAAAACTACCTTAATTGACGATATTCATATGCAAAAACACTGTTTTAATGATTGTGATTTTGAATTATGAGAGTATTTGAACTTTAAAAAATTAGGATAAAGACAATAAAAAGAGAACAGAGAGAGTTTAAGTTAATTTTTTCTTTTTTCATGTTTCTGATTTTTTTAAATTATTATATTAAATATATATTATAACACCTAATTAAAAAGATGATATAGATGCTTACATGGCAAAACACTGGATTAAAAAAAGATGACATGGATGCCTACATAACAAAACAACCCTCTTTTTATAAATAAGATTTAAAATACCTTATTTTAAAAAAATAGATTAAAAAATACCCTATTTAGGGAAAAAACTCTCACATAAAGTATTTGGTTTAAATATATATTTTTTTAAAAAGAAGTGTACATATGTAAATACAATACGTTTGCATTGGTTTGAAAATATTTTTTAAAATATAGTTGTATTGAAAATGCATCAATTCCAAGTTTTTTCTAGATATATATTTAGATGATTTTGATATATTGACATAAAAATAAAAAAAAGCGTTTAAAAAAGAATCAATTTGACCTTTTCAATTCAAAAGCAATTTTGCAAAAGCACATATACGGTATTATGAAAAACACACAAATAGCAATTCCAATAAATCCAGATACCCACCTCGTCTCTGCTCGTTTCATACGCTCCATACCTTCTCTTTTATATACCCAACCCTAACCTGTTTTCTTTTAACTCAATTCACCAGAAGAAAGGAAAAAAGAAGAAAAAAATTACAAAATGGAAGACCAAATGACGATACCAAGCTTGCAAAGAGAAACCCTACAGGTGAATACTAGTCCAGTTAACAAAGACGAAGAAACAGAGACAGCAATGGATTGTAAAACTCCAACCGGGTTGGAACATAAAATACCAGAGATGACTTGGGATTGCAAGACCCCTACTGGGGAGGAACACAAAATACCTATTTTGAACACTTGCCCTCCAGCTCCAGGTCCAAGGTGGCTTCTGGATTCTCTCTCGGAGAAAAAGAAGGCGTCAAAGACGAAATCTAGGGCCGAACCAAAGGTAATAATATTGCAACCTTTCAAGGCATCCAATTCCCAAGAGAAATAGTGTGTCTCTGATCCGGGTTGAGGATTATGTTAGAGCTTTGAAGAATTCAGTTGAAGATATCAGAATATTGAAAACATTCTTTTTTTAAAAAAAAAGATACACAGGATATGATCATTCTCCTGGGTTGCTAGGAGAACGTCATGAAACTTATGCTGATTAAAAGGACAAGATTGATGAGTTTTACAATTTTACAACGAGGTAGTAATTATGCGTTGGGATACAGTCACCAGCGTTATTAGAAACTGGTTAATACTATTAGTTTGGATCCTTTTCTTTTATTTATTTTTTATTTTTTAAATTAACGTTGTTGTTTTAATCAGCATCTATATTAACTTATTTTTTTATAACCATAAGAAAAGGTACTGCAGGGTTGACTTTGCTTGCTCTGTTGTGTATATGTGTAAATGTGGAATCCAATTAACATCGGTTTTTCTTTTGATTATCATCATCTTTTGGGAAAGTTTGTTTAATTTTATGAAAAACTTTTGGAGGAGCATGGTCATTGCTAAGCCCATCTGGTTGGTGGCATTTTCCATTTTCCTTTTGAGAATCATCGTCATCTATTTGTTTCTTAGCCCTCTGAATTATTTCCCTTCAAGTCATGCCTAGTTTGGCTTTGGATTAGATGTCTGCCTATTAGTTATTAATTTTCTCATCTTCTCAAACTAGTGCTTACAACCCAGTTTCTTAAATTGTTGGTTTGGCCCCTCACAAAATTACCGTGGATGTTTTATACTTCATGATGTTTGCAAGTAGTAGAAGTTTATAAGGGACGCGTGAAGATACAATCAGGTTATTTAACAATCAGATTGATTTTTGCTTCTTCTTTTGGTTTTGTGTTGTTTCTATACAAAATGGAGGATGAGAAAAGAACGTTAAACTGAATTTCTGTGTATTGCTGTTGAATCTTTTCTGTAGTAAATGAATACTTAGTCCAACATAGTTTTATATATGCATCAGTGTGAACCATGAAGTTCAATTGAGTTGAGGTTTATGAAGTGTGATTGAGTTGAGGAACTGTTTTCTTTTCACGAGAACTGAGAGATCTAGTTTTATTGAATAAGAATGGAGAGGAATGAACACCAAGTTGATGACACAAAGCTTAAATGGCAAGCAAATGAACGGAAAATCGAAGTAAACTGAGAACAACATAGCCATAAGTGTTGCAGCAAAGACCTATAAAATGCAGAAATCATCATCAGGCATGAAGAAGAAACAGAGGCAGACAGGACAGGGAGTTGTTTGCAGAATACATCCAAGCTATCAGATAACTAACATGGTTGACTCCTTGTTTGTCAGGGGATATGTACATTGATTTGAATCTCTTCATGTGTGGATAAATTTCAAATTATTAAAGAGTTGCTTCAGCTTTGTTATTGAATTTAGGATACCTCTGCATTTCCAAGGATTAGTAGCTAGATTTTTAAGCCACATGATGTGTTTCATGAATCTGACTCCATTATTAAATCTGGGCTAGTTGTGATTTTATTGATGGAGCTTATTTCTAAAGCTTTAGTGACCCTGTGTAGCTCCTCCACTCATTTGATTTAATTGTTCTAGTGGGGCTAAGGAAAAATACAGAGGAAGTTTACAGCATCTCTGTGAAGAACTCCTGATAAACCCGCAGCATAAGGCGTTCCAATCGATGACCACTCGACGTTCTACTTCAGGCTGTTGGCACTCCGGAGAGACCTGTTTGTGCGATTTCAAGTTCTAACTGGATTGGTCCAGTATTTTATACCCTCTGAGCTTGTTTGGAGGTCAAATGCTGTATAGCAGAAGTGGTTGCCGACAACTTCTGTGGGAGAACATGCTCAGCGTAGACAAGAGCCGAAAAACATCAACTCACATATGGAATCTCCAAATCAGTTGTAAATTTGAAGTGTGGCAACTGTGGCATTATTAAGCATGGAATTTGGGTATAGTGTTGCTATGACCAAACCTGATCAAGTAGGCATTTTGATGCATTTATTAATGAGATCACTAGTTGCTTACAGGCTGAAGGCCATTTGATCAAGTGTTTGGAGAGAACCAGGTTTTCTATGGACAAGCATATTTCAAAGAGTTGGATCTTTTGGCACATGTATCTCTTTCGAATTCGCACGTTGTTCTGAGGCTCGAGTTATTATCTGATATGTGACCATTCCTTGAAGGGTTTGATCATTTTGCAACTAATAAAGCAGTAGTATTGATCAGCAGCAGGTAAGAAGAAGGAAAATGAGATATTACAAAGAAAACTCTCCGTCATTCTTTCCTTTCTGGACTATGAAAACTTCATTACAAAAAATGAATTTATTTTTCTTAACTGTAAGGAAAATGAGATATTATTAAGTAATTTTCTCTCCATAGTTGAGATAAAATATCTCCATAGTATTTGTCAACTCTTATAAAATAATCTTTACAGATATTTCTCTTGTGTCCACATCGTATAATGCAATTGGGCTGGGTTCAACCATGGACGCCTAATTTTAGGTCCAAATCAAAAGGTCCAGCAAAATTGTTTCATCGGTAGAAACAACGGTTAGTCTATTTGGTATTTTCTTCAAGTAATTATTAATTTTATGCTAAAATTACTTAATGATTAAAGAAGAGAGAACCCATCCTATAATTATTTATATTTGGTGTTAAAGTATACAATATAATGAAAAAAAACAAATGGCATGAATTAATTTCATGTATCAGAGGTTTTTTTTCTTTAAGAGGTAAAGAAAATTACCTATAAAATAATTTATAGGCTGAATTGATAGCAAGTAAGTTTTTCATAAATCATAAATCCTTACATCCAAATTGATATTATTTCATATTCAAAAATAAAAGAGAAATATATTCATTTTCTATAGTTGAAAATAATACATGGCACCCTTAAATGAACTTACAGCGATTTTAAACATAACTGTATAATGTAAAAATGATAGATATATAACCAATAACTTTGGATTGGAGATCCTTAAATTAAAAAAGAAAACTGGAGACCCTATTGATAAAAGGTTGTCTCAGAAGAAATTTCGTAACTTGGAATTGGAGTATTATTTTAACAGATAATTGGGATATTTATTAATCAAAATAACATTTTCATTCGCTTTTTTGATCCTTCCCCTGCATAGCGTTCGGAAGCATAAAAACAAACGCACAGAAGCAACAAACAGCAAGAAAGAAAAGATCAGCTTAATTAGCTGCACTTTCTAATTCCCCAATATACCCCTCCACGCATGCCACCAGGCCCAAAATCGTAACTACATTAAATACAAAAATCATTTCATTGTAGTTTTCGTTGATGAACAGTGTGTTTTCTTGTCTCTCTTTCTTTCTTTCTCACCAAAAGCTCGATCCGCCCAACCATATCGTAGAACCTAAGACCCCAACCCTCTCTCTGTTGCGCTCCTTCTCATTCAATCACCAACGAGGTAACATTTTTATCATTTCCGCTTCATGATCTGTAAACTGCACGCGTTTTGGTTTTTATTGAATTTTCTCAGATTTATTGGAGCGGTGTTATAGTAATTTTGCGATAAGTTTGGATCCATTGAGTATTGTTATTGGTCTTAGCTGTGATTAATAGAAAGATGAACTGGTTTTCCCTCTCCTTTTCCTTTTTGTTTGGTTGATGAGAAAATTGAAGAAAACGAGGGATAAAGTTGGATTAGATTTTGTGCTTTTTGTTGTTTTGGTCTATCTGTAATGAATTTCCAGCTTAGAATTTACTGAAAAGAAAAATCAGCTTACATGAGATAAATCTCTGGCACACAATTAGTATCTTGCGGCTCATTTGATGATGATCAAGTTTTGGCCAGGTTTTCTGAAAAATCGTCAGCATTATTATAAATTTGCTTGAATTTTTCACTTCTTATGATGATTTACGATAATATGAATGATGTCAAGCAGATGAAACAGAGTAGAGATGGAATCAAGAGCGATAGAAATTCAAAATCTTCATCGGTTGCCTCCCTTCCGCTCATTCTCGATATAGATGATTTTAAGGTAAGGACTAAATAGTGGACAGTTGATTCTTTATGAGGAAAACTTGGTATTATACCGCATTTAGGATCTGTTATTTACTTAGTTTAATTTCAAAATTTACAGTCTGCATTCATCTTGTATGGGGGTTTTTCATTCTACTTAGTTTAATTGTCAAAATTGACAGTCTGAATTCAATTTGTAGGGGGATTTTTCATTTGATGCATTATTTGGGAACTTGGTAAATGATCTACTCCCATCTTTCCAAGATGAAGAAGCAGATTCAGCTGAAGGTAATGTCGGCGGGGGTGATGTGTTAGCAAATGGGCATGTAAGAGTCCCATCCGATGCAGCAAAATTGGCACCAGGCTTGTCTTCTCCCTTATTTCCTGAAGTGGATAGTCTTTTGTCTTTGTTTAGGGATTCTTGTAGAGAGTTGATAGACCTCCGGAAGCAGGTAGGTTGTCGAGAGCATATGATGAAATTTAGGAGGTCATAAAAAATTTTCTGCTGACATTTTTTTTTTGATTGCAGATTGATGGAAGGCTCTACAATCTCAAGAAGGAGGTTTCTGTCCAAGATTCTAAGCACCGTAAAACACTAGCTGAGGTGAGTTTTTGGGTGTCTGTGTGCATGTCTTTTATTGAATCATTTTAATAGCTATACTGGAGAAGAAGTATCAATAACTCTTTTTATTTCTGAAGTAAACTGCAAAAGCTTCTTTATCGTTTATCCCAGATTAGATCTCTATAATAGATATAGTGATGATGACTACATTATGTCAACAGTGGATTAAATGGTAGTGACCAGACACACAAACATGTTAATGTGTGCGTAAGCTAATTCCCTCTTGTTTGGTGATGTTAAAGTAATTTCTTACAGTTCGATTTTAGGTGGTTAATGTTATATAATTGATTAGATTAAAAGTAAATCATAATAGAAGTTTGTCAATGAAAAAGATATATTCTTTTTGAAATAAAAGGATCGAACAAGAAAGTTGAGAGGTTTATGCAGTTTGTGGAATCCAGAAATTTGAGGATGAGAGAAGGTAGGGGTTTCTTTCTTTAGTTCTTGGCAAGAGGTTTTTAGGTCTTAAGGGGCATTCGGTTGGTTTGGCTCCTCTAAGATATGGTCATTTTGTTTCTCTTTTTTCTGTTTCTGGGATCTATCTAATGTAGTTAATCTTGATTTCATTTGCTATGTATTTTATCTTTCAGCTGGAAAAGGGCGTAGATGGCTTGTTTGATAGCTTCGCTAGGCTTGACTCACGTATTTCAAGTGTTGGACAGACTGCTGCCAAAATAGGAGACCATTTGCAGGTAACATGTTTCCTATGCTCGATTATAATCTGCTATGTATTCAATTCTGCAGTTATTTAACCCTTTTTATTATGATTTTGTCAGAGCGCGGATGCTCAGAGGGAAACGGCTAGTCAAACAATAGAGCTCATAAAGGTACTGTCCATCATCTTATTTTTTTATGCTTGGCCTGGAATGCTTCAACACCTTGTTTACTTAATTTTTGCAGTACTTGATGGAGTTCAATGGCAGCCCAGGTGACTTAATGGAACTATCACCTCTGTTTTCGGATGACAGCCGTGTTGCTGAGGCTGCTTCAATTGCGCAGAAATTGAGTAAGATGGCCTTATGTTCTTACGAAGCTCTGAAATTGCATAATTCTACAACCTCATGTTCTTATAAGCCTTCTCTTTACACTAACCTTGTTTCTTTTCTGTATTGGTCATGCATATTTTTTATTTTTTTCAATCAGCAGCAGCTGAGCTGCAGCTTTCCATCCCCTTTATTAATTTGCCTTATTTCAGTCTTAATCCTATCTATATACATTGAGCTGTGTAAATCTACTTATAATCCCCCTCCCTCCCTCTTTTCTATCACATCCTCATGCTTTAGTAAATACTTCTAAACCCATCAAATACCTTTGTCATGCCGGATTAATGATATACTCTTTATCTTACTTGATATCTATAAGTTTTATCATCTATGTTGTCATTTGGATTTTCATTGAAATCTTCTCTTAAGTGCTGTTTGGTAATCGGGAATGAAGTGGTAGGAATGAGAATGGAAGTTTTATTCCCACCTTTTAGATGTTTGGTTGAAAGGAATGAAGTGATAATGGGAATGAAGTGAGAATGGGAATGAAGATTAGGAATGGGAATAAAAATTACATACAACTTCATTTCCATTTAGAACGTGGGAATAAAAACAAGGAATGAGAATGGTTTTTTTTTTTCAAAATAATAATATATTTTATTTATTTATTGTATATTAACTACTTCTACCACTACCACTATAACCACCATCACTACCACCACCACCACCACCATCATCATAAGCACCACTACAACCATAAGCATCACCACCACAACCACAACCATCACCATTACCTTTATTATTTTTACAACCATTATAGTTCCGAGAAAATTATTTTTTTTAATCATTAGTTTTATTTGTATAAAAAACTAACTATTAAAAAATGTAAATTACATTCTGATTCCTCATTAGTATTTTAAACACAATATAGGAATACAAATACCATTCGATTCCCTAATTTTTATTTCGATTCCTCGCATTCTCATTCTGGACCTTTCATTCATGGTAACCAAATGACACCTTAAAGTATTACTGATATTTTGTTTGGATCTTTTCTAATGAAATACGAAATTTGTAGTGGAATTGGGATGCTGTAGCTTTTCCATAAATTAAAGAAAATATCAATTTAACCCTTTTGTTTTGGATAATAGTAACCATTAGAGTGTTGAAATTGGAGTGAAAATTTGTTTGAAGCTATTTGATCTATCTAAATCAGCATAAGCAGAACAAAGAAATGGATAATTTGACTTGATATCTATAAGTTTTATCATCTATGTTGTCATTTGGATTTTCATTGAAATCGTCTCTTAAAGTATTGCTGATATTTTGTTTGGATCTTTTCTGATGAAATACGAAATTTGTAGTGGAATTGGGATGCTTTAGCTTTTCCATAAATTAAAGAAAATATCAATTTGGATAATAGTAATCCATTAGAGTGTTGAAATCGTAGTGAAAATTTGTGTGAAGCTATTTGATCTATCTAAACCAGCATAAGCAGAACATAGAAATGGATAATTTGTGAAAAATCTGTTTTAAAGAATGGGTAAGTTATGCAATAGTTTTTGTGTTCTTTTCACAGCCATGTGATTTTTTTTACTATTTTTTGAGCATTTTAGGGTCATTTGCTGAGGAAGATATTGGAAGACAGGGCTTATCTGTACCGTCAGTTATGGGAAATGCAACTGCGAGCAGAGGATTAGAAGTTGCAGTCGCTAATCTTCAGGATTACTGCAATGGTACGGGTTCTGCATATTGTTCTTTTTTAATATAAAAAGTACTGCTACAGGACGTTCATATATGGTGCATGCAAACAATACAATGATTTAGTGGGCAGTGAAAAATAGTAACAAACTATGTTTAAATAGCAGACTCTGTGGTTTAATAATTATTAAAAGTTGTATCATATATGGTCAAACATCATCAGTTTAGAAGGAAAAGACTGGCTTGTGATATCATGATAAAGTGTTTACAAATACCCATTTGCATATGGCCTAATCTCCTAATATTTGTGTTATGTGCCATCATAATGGAAAATCTTGGAGTGATTTTTTTCCACATAACCCTGTAGCTTGGGATATGTGGCAAAGATTGTTTGCAATTTAGTAGTGAGTCTTGGGTTACCCTTAGGATGGTAGAAGCAGCATTCTTCTGTGGGTTTTATCAGAGAAAGATTTTTGTTCTTTATGGAGATGTGTTGTACATGCATTTTGTTGGAGAGGAGTGTAGGGATTTTCACTCATCACTTCACAGCGAGTCAGTTGTTGTGGAACAGGATAATCTTCTTGGTTTTGAATTTTCATGTCAGCAGGTGTCTTTAGGGGCAGTTCCCGAGAACAGGATTGGAGTGCTTTATTGTTTTGATTTTGTTGGTTGTTCTATTCCTCCTTTCAGAGGATGTCTCATTCTACAATTTTGTACTGTGCAATTCCTTCCTTACAATACTTTCTCTTTTTTCATAAAACAAAAAACATATTTTCCATATTGGCAAAGGAGGAAGAAAAGCTATGCAGATCATGATGCTGAAAAGGAATATCATTCTTGGCTTTTAAGCATCTCCTTGCAATCAGAATTTTAACTCTGTTATTTTCGTTGTGTTTCAAAGGATTTGATAAAAGCAATTATCACCATACATTCATTGTGTGGAGAGTTCCTTGTTCAGAATCTTGATGAGGACCATTTCAAGGGTATTTGAGAATTTCTGTGATCCTGTTGTATCCCTTAGTCTGGCGATTAGCAGTAGCTAGTAAACCCTTGTGGCCATGGAAGGTTGAAGCCTATCTCCATGTTCATCCATAGCATCTGACACCAACCCCCCTGACACACCACACACACACACGCGCGCGTGTGCGCGCACGCGCAAAAGGAAAACAGAAGCAATTGAATTGTAAAGATGTTTATGATTGGTGGATTTGTCTCCTTTGTTTACTATAATATTTTAGTGATGATATTTTTCCTCTTAATACTTTTCATGCAGAACTAGAGAATAGATTGTTGGCTCGGTTTGATGCAGCATCACAGAAAAGAGAATTATCTACCATGGCAGAATGTGCTAAAATTTTATCTCAGGTGATTTTTTTTTCTCCACTTGTAATGACACTGGACACTTTTTTTGCCTAACACGTTCATCGGGGGTCACCTGAACATGGCTATACTATACCGGCCATGGGGGGTCCTGTTGTTTACTGTATGGGTTTGAACTGATCGATTGGATATAATCTTTCCTGCTTTTGTTTTTGAACCTAAATCTTCAAGTCCAAGTTACAGCAGAATAAGTGATGGTTGGAAAATAAGCAGAAAAGCCTCCACGCTTGCAGGAATTGGTATAGGGTGCCCACAGATTTGCTTCACTTTCTGCTCTTTTTGGCTAAAACAAAAAAAAGAGGGAGAGTGCTTAAGCCATAAATTTTAGTTATTTTTTTGTTTCCTTTTGATTCTTTCTCATCCTTCTTTGAAGTAAGATGGATCTTCCATTTATAAAGGGATCTTGCAAATCCACTGAAGGGTTTTTTATTCTGTTTTTTTTTCCCCTGTTTGTCTCATGGGTTTCCCTTTGCATTGCAGTTCAACAGGGGCACAAGTGCCATGCAACATTATGTGGCAACACGTCCAATGTTCATTGACGTGGAAGTCATGAATGCAGACACTAGATTGGCTCTCGGTGATCAGGGATCTCAAGCTAGTCCGAGCAATGTTGCTCGTGGACTTTCTTCCTTGTTCAAAGAAATCACAGGTTTGTAAAATAGCCATTTATCTCAAGCAAGGGTTGCATTCTTCCGAGGATTGTTAAAAATCTTTGCTTCTCTCCTGCAGACACTGTCCGTAAAGAAGCAGCTACAATTACGGCAGTATTCCCTTCTCCTAATGATGTCATGTCAATTTTAGTTCAGGTATTTAGGCATCTGATTCGAATCGCATAAGGCATACAGTATTTTTTTTCCCTCATGAATCCATATATATGATTGTTCCTATATATGTGCAGAGGGTTTTAGAGCAGCGAGTTACAGCTCTTTTGGATAAATTGCTAGTGAAACCATCTCTTGTCAATTTACCTCCCATGGAAGAAGGCGGGCTTTTATTAGTATGTAGAATTTGCTTGGTCCAAACTGCTTCTAGTACCTTAGTTTCAGTTTGAGGCGACAATCAGATCTTGACTTTTTTTGTGTTTGACTTGAGGCTTCAGTATCTTAGAATGCTAGCAGTGGCATATGAGAAGACTCGGGAACTTGCAAGAGACTTACGAGCTGTGGGATGTGGTGACTTGGATGTTGAGGGTACTTAACCAACTTTCCTTGTTCTTGGCAAGTTTGTGAATATTAGATGTGTAACTATCTGCAATATTCTATGTAAGTGTAGAGCATCACTAATTGATGAAGAAAGATGAGATGTGCTTGTAATTCTTGTAATCATATGTTTTTCATATTGATGGTTGCTGAACCAATTTTGCTAATGACTTCATCCTGCAATGGGTAGCCATTGCTTTTCGTGATCCCGGCTAATACCAGAGATGCAGGGTAGGGGGATCATTCCTACCACCCTATCCTCCACTGTTTCCTATTCAACCAAAATGGAAGGAAAAAAAAAAAAAACGGAGATAGCCATGTTGGATGATGCCTAGTGAGTGGTGTCCAGTTGTCTGGGGCTCAATTGTTGATTCTGGCTCTGATTATATTAAAGATATGAACATTCTGTATTACGTTTAACTAGCATTACCTTCTACAAATCGCAATCTCTATGAGTATTAGCTCTTTTAAGTATTGCAGGTCAAATCCTGGCAATTTAGCGCATTTTGCTTTTTATTGTAGAATACGAATTTGAGTTCTTCAACTAGCATTACCTTCTACAGTCATAGTTTGTCACAATCTCCATTTAGTAGTTGTTCATTTAAGTAATGTATGTCAAATTGTGTAGAAATGAACTGTAACAAATGGTGAGCTTCTATGAAAAGTTCGGGCATGGTTTAATATATCACTTTTAGAGTTCTTCAATTCAGAAAATTTCTCTTTTCTTGGTAGCAGAGATTGCCACTGACATTTTATGTATTTAAATATGTTACTGCAAATTGTAGTTGACAATGTGACTGATTTCCTGAATAAAAGTGTTAACATGACTTGATGACTCTGTATATCAACCAATGTTTGTCACATTTTTCCAGCATCTTGCACAACTTTTTCCTCTTTGATTTGTGTCTTATTGACTCTCTCTGTTGATACAGGCCTCACAGAGTCTCTCTTCTCTTCTCACAAGGATGAATATCCTGAACATGAGCAGGCCTCTCTTAGACAACTATATCAAGCCAAGGTTTGCGTGATTGTTTTTTTTATTTTTTTCTATATCAAGTTTACAAAACACTTTTTTCTTTGGTGACAGTAGGCTGTACCATGATATGCAGATGGAAGAACTGCGTGCTGAGAGCCAGCAGCTTTCTGAATCAACTGGGACTACTGGGCGCTCAAAAGGGGCTTCTGTAGCATCTTCCCACCAGCAGATATCTGTTACTGTTGTGACAGAATTTGTGCGGTGGAATGAGGAAGCAATATCAAGATGCACTCTGTTTTCATCTCTGGTAATATTTAATTCTGCGATCAAATGTACCTCATCTATTACTGATAGTTCTTGTATGGTTGCACTGTATATCATGGGATTTAAAGTAAAATGCTAGAGTACTTGGTTCCAGTTATCAAAAAGGTGATTAATCACTAGCTATCTTTTGTTTTGAATGTTCCTTTTTTGTCAACTTGTCCGGGAATCCTGTGCCCTTTTCTGAAACGTATAAAGGTCACTTTGATTATTTGGCCTGGTACATCGAATAAGAATGTTATATTGTCTGCTAAGCACAACAAGTCAAATTCGTACTTTTTGTGAAGATTTTATCTTCTAAAAGATGTGTGACTTTAAATGATTAAGATGTATATTTGGAGATGACATTTGAAATGATGTCTCTTTTGGATGTTCTGGGATTGTCTTTACTGCCTCCAGTTATGGATTGTACTGGCTTTGTTTTGGTAATTAAGGACTTGAAGCCCATGCACCTTATGGTTGTTGTGGTTTATGTTCTCTGGCCCCATGTCTGAGACAATAAATCAAAGGTATCAAATAATGAATATGGACATCAAAAAGAAGGATTTTTAGACTTAAAAGAATTATACATGTTTTAAGCAGAATGTTGAGTTAAAAAAATTCAAATGTAGATTAGCTAGTATGAGTCTGATGGGTCTTGTATTTCTATTATTTTCTCTAAACAGAAGCAAAAATGCCCTAATATGCAGTAAATGAGGGCTTAAGAATGATTTTTATTTTTATTATTTCTAAAAGGTTCAAATATTTTATTGGTATTTTATTGATTGATTCCAAACATGCTTTTCTGCAGCCTGCTACCCTTGCAGCCAATGTGAAAGCTGTGTTCACTTGCTTGCTAGACCAAGTAAGTTGCTTACTAAATACAGTACTTTGTTAGTTTATGTCGTGGTTAGCTCAGATTTTATTTAAAAAACAATGCAGGTAGGGCAATATATAACAGAAGGTCTTGAACGGGCTAGAGATGGCCTCACTGAAGCTGCAGCATTAAGGGAACGTTTTGTGCTGGGAACGAGTGTTAGTAGAAGGGTGGCTGCTGCAGCTGCTTCTGCTGTAATTACCTAATTATATGCCTTTCCTTGCTCTATCATAGCCCCTTCTTTATGAGATATACCTTTGGTGGAGTTTCATATAAAAGTCTACGTTTATCCAGAACAGTGTGCTTAAGTGAGATTGATGTTGCGATGCAGGCAGAAGCTGCTGCTGCTGCTGGTGAGAGCAGTTTCAGATCCTTCATGGTTTCGGTACAACGTTGTGGTAGCAGTGTTGCTTTAGTACAGCAAGTATGTTGGATTGCACTGACACTGTTTAAATTTTTGTTAAATTAGCTAAAAGGAGAATCCTGTGATATGTAGAGAACTTAAAATGGCTTCGATTATCATTTTCAGTATTTTGCAAACTCTATATCTCGTCTCTTACTACCTGTGGATGGTGCACATGCTGCTTCATGCGAAGAAATGGCAACAGCTATGTCCAGTGCTGAGGCTGCAGCTTATAAGGGGCTTCAACAATGCATTGAAACTGTTATGGCTGAGGTTTGTTCTTAACTCCTAGTCTTTTACTTTAACAGTGCATGGATTCTGATGGACACATGCAAGTCTTTAATTCTCTAATGGTTTTATTTGTGTGGCATCATATTTAGTACAATGCTTCATCCTATTTTTTCTAGTCATCTTTATATCCAGAGAGAAAAGCTCTTGATCTATTGATTGATATGCTACCATCCTCCATGTCTTGCGGATCTGTTCTCTGCCAATTTTTTTAGTTCTCACTCTTATAATTTTCCTTGGGAAACTCCCACACAGGTAGAGCGATTGCTATCAGCTGAACAAAAGGCAACAGATTATCGGTCACCTGATGATGGAATGGCTCCTGATCATCGTCCCACAAATGCTTGCACAAGGTACATTGAGCTTGATGAACTTAAACTTGCATTTTGACCTAAAAGCATATTTGTTGGGTTTTCTGAGAAATAAGTGATACAAAGTCAATCCATTTCAGGGAGTTTAACATGGACTTTTTTTTTCACCTAGTTTTCTGTTTTTGTCGCTCAAAAGACTTATTTCTAGGATTCTTATAAATTTAATCGTTTGTGTATTTGCTGGTCAACACTTGGTGAGTGGGAGTTTCTATTTGACAACACAAAGCTCCTACTATTTTAATTCCCAGAGGTCCCAAGTCTCAAACCAAGTTTAGTCGTACACCTATTAATATTATGAATCCAAGTATCAAATCAATTCATTTTTTACCATCATCTATCTGCTTGTCAAATAGTATTTTCTGATCAAAAGAATACACTATTTCAGTTATATTGTTGATAGTAACTGCTTTATTTCTCTTGGTTAAGAGTTGTGGCATATCTTTCGCGTGTGCTTGAAGCTGCATTCACTGCATTGGAAGGTCTTAATAAACAAGCATTCCTGACTGAATTGGTAAGTAGTCTCTCTCTGAGATTCTTTTGACTCTTCTTTATGCAGTTGGCTGTCCAAGTTTGCGCCTCAGTTATGAGTGATGATTGCCCATGCATCTGCAAATAAAGATGTTTTTATGTGCACTGTCAAAGGAAGAATGGCATGTGTACTTTTAGGTTGCCTTTTTATTATTTCTCACACAAGAATGTCCTGGCACATTGTAGGAGATATTGCTTCAACAAGACTATTTTGAGCATTCCATTTTCTATTATTGCTTCCCTGGTTTTGTTCTCTCTCTCCTCCTCCTCCTCTCCTCCTCCTCTTTTTTTCTTTTTCTTTTTGCTTTTTGGTACAACAGTCACAGCCCCTGAGCTTTAAGTGAAAATAGGCGTTCATTTGTATTCAAACTATTAGGTGGACTCTTTCACCTCTCTCAGGACACTGCTTTGGCAAGGCTATAACTGGAGATGGTCTTTAAAAAAAAAAAAAATTATAATTCCATCAGATTGATCAGCATTTCCAAAATATAACTGGTGCCATTTCTAACACATGACTCAAAATTGAAAATCTTATCTCTTACACCATCATTCTCAACGGTTGGTCAAATTTGACACCTTCCCTCCCATACTATAAGCATTCCTGGAATGTAATCTGACAAGGGAGATCATTATGATTTCCAGAAATATGACTGAGACACCTGTAATTTCACTTAATACAGTGGTAAGCCAACATATTCTGTACTCATTCTTGGGGAAGTGAGGTAGTGTGGGATGGCAATTCACATGCATATATGTTTTCTTCTTTAAGTTTATACTCACCTTATCTGAAGGGAACATTTTTGTAATTTGAAGAAAGAGTACTAATGTTGAAACTTAACATGGAGACAATTATCATTTCAGGGAAACCGCTTACACAAGGGGCTTCTTAATCATTGGCAGAAGTTCACTTTTAATCCCAGGTAATTTGCCTTGCCAATGCTTCATGCATTAAATTACCTAACATTTATACTCAGTAGCTTGGTGAACCTTTGGTTGGCATTAATGGTTATGATTGATGTTATTTGTAAAAAGAAGCATGTTTCAATTGGTGACTGCATGTGACAGCATTGGTCATAATTCCTAGCAAGCCATTCTGAATTTGTCAGGGTGTTTTTTTTTTTTAAATCTAAGAAAGAAATGTTGAGACCTTGAGAATTGAAATCTTTCCTGACTTGTGAACATCCGGAAAAGGGGAAATGCTGGATCTGAAATTTATGTTGTCTTCGGTTGGTTTGGAGCTTTCTCATGCGCATATAAGTTGCTTGTAATTCATGATCGGTTGGGGAGCATGATTTCTTTTGTTGGAAATCCCCAGTTTAATTGCTTTGGAATTCAGTTTGTTTTTTTTTTTTATTATTCTCTTCCAAAGTTCGTTAACTTATTTATTAGGTAAACTGTAAACAAATTTTGTGATTTCCGTTTGTTAGTTTTGAAAGAATTCTAATATTTGATGTGTATGGCACCAACGAATCATTTTACATATTGATCTATTTTTATGTTCTATTCTGCAGTGGAGGACTGCGGTTGAAACGTGATATAACCGAGTATGGAGAATTTGTGCGGAGTTTTAATGCTCCTTCTGTTGATGAGAAGTTTGAGTTGTTGGGCATGTAAGTTGCAAGACCTTGTCAAGATTACAGTACTGATGTAGAACTCCTTACCTCATTTTACTAAGGGAAATTTTTGTCTCCAGAATGGCCAATGTCTTTATTGTTGCTCCTGAAAGTCTTTCCACTTTGTTTGAGGGAACCCCCAGTATACGCAAAGATGCACAAAGGTATCTTCAGTGTTTTTTGTTTATTTTTATAGAACTGACTTGAATGGCTTTACAGTTAATACTGATATTCTGATACAGTGGATGCAATATTTAACATAACCAGAGCTACGTTTAATCTTCAACTAGTTGGATTGGCTACATAAATCTTTTCCATTCTGTTCTTCATAAAGCAAAGAATTCTCTCTTGCCTATGTACTCTTTTGGACTGCATGAAATGTCAAATGCTTTCTTAAGAATCATGATTCCATTCCCATACAATAGACGTGGTTTAGAGATGTCTCTAAATTTTTTTTTCCTTCAGTCAAAACACTTGGGTTAGTGTTCTTTACCTTGTCACTTTAGGATTTTCTTATGGTGGATCCACCCCTTCTCTCCGGTTTCTTACGTTGTGTTGATTTCTCTGATGACTAAACTTTGATTGACTGCCAATACAGGTTTATTCAGCTTAGAGAGGACTACAAGAGTGCTAAACTTGCTTCAAGACTTAGTTCCTTTTGGACAAGCTCTAGTTGATAAAAACCATCTGATGTATATTTTATTTTCCTTAATTCTTGGATGTCTTACATGAGATGGTGGATACATCAAATGGAGCACTTTCTGTGGTGGGAACAGTCACCTCAAATTGGATTTGCTTGGGTGGCTCTGAGACCAAGTTGTTGAGCTGGTGGGAAATTAACTTTAATCCTATCTTTTCAGCTCGGCTTGGTCAGGAATCCGGTACAGTAGAGTTTTCTGTGAATTTTTTCTTTTTCCATTTTGGTTGTATATTTTATTAACCTATTGTTGGTAAGATGCGGTAGGTTTTGATTTTCAACTATCATTTTACACATTAGATGCACAGTTTTGCTTTGATGATTCAGATAGAATCTGCTGTCCGTTGTATCCTTGTAAATGATACTCGTGGGGATGAAAATGATACTTTAGGGGTGATGTTTTTAAATTGGGTGTTGTATTTCTTTTCTTTTCTTTTTTTTTAAAAAAAAGGTTTGAGATTTCTGTGTATGGGCATTCAAGGGGAAATACAGAGTAATGCCAGAAAGATGTGAGAAGGAAAGAAGGATTGCGGTTTCATGTTACCACGTTTGAGAGTTGAGGGATGGACTTGACGCTGTGTAACCTGTCGTTGGATTGGAAGGGGAAGAGAGAGAGAGAGAGAGAGGAAATAAACTCACTCCCGAGACTATTTCATTCTATCATGTTAAGCCTGGCAACTAGATGTGTTCAATTATCAACTTGGTAACGCATGATCTCAACGATGGTAGAAGCTGGTAGCTTTTGCAGGGGATGGAAGATACGATTCTGTTACGGGTTTTGCGTTCACTGCAATAACAATTGATGAGGAGTAGCATTATATTGCATGTGCTCCAATGGAACCTTGATGGCATATTCCTTTTCTCTTTCGGCCTTGATTAATGAACTTCGTCAACAGAAATGGACACGACGGCTGATTATTGTAATGGTAGAATCTCAGGTTTCCAACTTTAAAAGGTTTTGGAGGTTAGAGGAGTTGTTCCATTTATAAGTTTACAAGTAGCTTCCACACAAAAGTTCATTTTCGGCTACCATAAACTTTTACTGCAATTGCTAATGGTGCACAAACAAGAAAGGTCACGATAACATATAATGATGGAGGTGACACAAATGAAGGCTCTAATTGTGTGCGAATACAACTTATACCTTCACCGCCTAGTTCATGAATCGCACGCAAATGGGAAGAAAAGCGTAGGTAGCAAGTGTGACACCTGGCATTGCTTTATTTGTGGTGGGGTACCTCTTTTTTAACTAGTGTGGTACATCCCTACCACTATAAAGTGCTACCTCTATCGGTCTATCTCATGGTAACGGATAGAAAGAGAGGAGATTATCGATGAAGAACGTTTTTAGTGGATGGTTATCTTCTTTGACAGTAAAGGGATCTATGAGTAACATCTCCTCTGTGCCAATCTCATGACAAATTGACATTTCCCTCACCTCTTCTCTGTATAAACAAAATCAAAGATGTGCTAAGACCCCACAAACCACCACTGTATCGCCGTGGTCAATCGATTGTGTGCCATCAAAAACTCTTTTCAAGTCTCTATCTACCCATACGCCTATCTAATCTCCAAGTAACCAAATAAGTATTTCGAAAGTCTAAAGTCTTGTTCCATCCCAATGCCTAACTAGATACGTAGAGCACAAGTGCTGACTACTGAGCGTAAATGTTTGACCAACCATATGGGGACTTCTAAAGCCCGAAAACATGCTGCATATAGAGGATGGGATAACGAATAAAAAAGAAATATCTAGCAAGCAAACCATCCTCCACCAAAGTCTCATAGCAAGTGCTTCACACCTCTGTCAATATCACATAATACATTGGAAAATGTAAAGAAGGAAAAGGAAAGTGCCAATGCAGGTTTTTGTTAAAGCCTTACAGTTAGTGGTGGTGGACATTCTGAAAATTCTTCCTCTCTTCTTCAACAGTACCATCATCACCACTTGAGGAACTCGTGCCCTTTTTTCTTTTTTTTTTTTGTCTCTAGTTATTCTTTAATTGTTTTTCTAAAAGTTTGAAGTTTTTAAGGATCTATCACTTGATGGATTTCACCTTGCTCCTTTCAAACTATGGATGTTCTTGGATCTTCTCAACTTCAAAAGTTAGTTCAAGAAGTGAGACTTTCCCTCACACTTACAATAAAAAACCTAGTTTCTTTTAGAATGATATGAAATAATTTAACAATCTCTTTTTTTACACATCATCCTAAGTTGACTATTTCTCATCAACTTGTGTGATGTTGACACATAGAGAATCGTTTAACTATACTACTAGTGTAGGGTGTTATTAGACATTTTCAACCGCAAAAGCTATTCAAGGAGTGAGATTTTTCTCATATTTATAACCAAACATCCAACTTCTTCCACAATAGATGTATGATAACCTAACACACCCTCACGTGAAAATCGGTTATGAAATTTGGGTTATTGATAAAGTATCGGTGAAATAGCGTAGAAACTAGTTATAAAATTTGGATTATTGATAAAGTATCAATGAGAAAATGCACGTAATATGAGCTATGAAGTCGAAAAATAATTATATTTTGCTACGAAGATATCTATCTTTTTCTTGCAATTTTGATTTTATACACAATTTAAAATACTGCTTCCAACCTAAAAAGAAAAAAAATATTAAATCAATGGATATATCATTGCATATAAACACATTTTCTAATCATTGTCATCATTCCTAACCAATGTGAATTCACCTCTTACATCACTTGTGGAAGTATTTTGGCATGGTGGACATAGTTGCTTCACTCGTCAATTTGCTCAAGAGAGATCGATGTTTGTATGGATTTGCCTACATATGGACTTGTATATAAAAAGAGTTCATGTAGACAAATGGATATTATCTTGAATTTAGATTGATAAATTATTAGATATGTTAAAATACTACAAGAAAACAATAAAATAGTAACAAATTTTTTTGTCACTAAATCATCATTTTTTGTCGTTATTTACATTTAGCGACGGATTTATTACAATATTTTTTAGTAGTTAAAACCCTTATCGTTATTTTTTTAGCGACATAAATGTATATCGTCGCCGATTAGTAGCAGAGTTATCTATCGCTAATGTGAAGCATTTTAGTCACTAAATCGAAATAAATAATTGTCTTTTAGGTCTAGAATATGTCGTAAAACCATCACTATTTAGTGATGGAATTGTTGTCGCTAAATCATACTCGTTGAAATTTCTCATAAATCCATAGCCATATCCATCGCTATTTAGAGATCGTATATGTGTCCGTCGCAAAAAGATTTAATTTTCACTCGCTAATTTGGTCATTGATCCATCGTTAAATGAAGAAATTTATATATATATATATATATTAGTAATCGTTTAATGTTAATGGCAATAGCAAACAACTAAAAATAACACTTTATTAAAAAATAAAATATTATTTAATAAAATTAAAAATGATATAAATTGAAAATAAATAAATATATAAATGCATTCGAGTGTACAAAAATATTAAAAGCCTAAAAAAAGGATAGCCAATCCTCGACATCATCATCTTTTGCATCATCTTTCGACTATTGGGTATTGAGAGGAACGACGAACTCTTGGATCGTGGAGGGGTTAGCAAGAGGGATTTTAGTCCGTTACGAGGTCTTGTAATGCCATCGGCACCATCTTCATCTAACTTTGTAGAGTATGGAATTTACGCTTATGTTCCTAGACTCGCCAAGTATAGTCAACCTCCACCTCTTTGATTCTATTTTTATACCGGGCGGTAACCTCCCGAATATTACCATTAGGGTATCACAATGTGATAGAGGACAAGTTGGCACCGAATGAGAGTAATATTGGGATGCCTATGTTTCAAAGCCATAAACTCTATGATTCCTCTCCCTTCTTATAATATCGAACTATATCTTAGTCATGTCGATATTTGAAGATGATGAATCACCCTCTTACTACTCCTTAGCAACTTCTTCTTACAATGATTGCACATGCTCCTACGTAATTGGAATAATTATAATATTAAATCATAAATATTTTTTAGATTATATATATATATATACAAAAATAAAAAAAATTACTATTATTATCCGGGATTGTTTGTTTATAAATGATTCATCTTTCCGTTTGTGAGTGTTCGGGAACACCTCGTAAGGATTTAGGTTACAACCTAATTTATTATACTAAAAAAATAGATAAAATAATATAAAATGTAATAAATACAAATATTAATTTATAACACAATGGATAATAGGATTTACTAAATGTTCAACATGCCCAATCAAAAGTATGGATCCTTTTGTATGCCTAGATTGGTCGATACTAATACCACTCGTCTTCGACATACGGTTTCAAGATGCTCGTTGAGATCGGGCATGGAACTTAGGCATGGTCCAATCTCGATGCCAAGCATCCCATACCTACTCTATAATATATGTGGGTTTGTTAGTCTTATGCTTGAGTTTGTTTAGCATGTCGAGTACCGCCTTCGTGCCGGACTCTCCCATATATCCTTATTAATACATTTCATGTTAAATTAATACTTTAAATGGAATATAAAAAATAGGTAATATATTATCCTAAATTCATTAAAGTAGTAGTCTTTCATCTTTATGGAGACATACTTTTATGTTGAGCTAGCAAGGTCTAATTGCTCTTTAAATATTACCGTGATTCGAGTAGAGCACTTACCCGATGAAACGAAACTCGTCAAAAAAAATAAATAAATAATAAATAAGTGAAATAATGATTCCAATAATATATGAAAATATAAAACTAATTAGTACATGTCAAGCATGTTACTTACTAGTTATTGACGATCCAAATAGTTCGTCTAGTATTAGATCCAATAGAGATTCTTAAAGCAAAAGAAATAATTAAAGGAACTCGGCACTATCGGTGACATGGCTATATATAGCACCACTATCAATGAGATCGTTATAGACGCTACTAGTATTAGTGTCATAACCACATACACTCGCCACCGTTAGAAAATCCGCTCGCATAGGATGCTCGGGGTGGAATGACCTAATCCACGAGACATATCTCTAGAATAACACATGAAACAATTTAACAAATAAAAAATAATTTGAATGAAAATATATTAAATTTTTTTTATAAAAAACAAATAAAATTTTGACATAATCATCCCCGTAAATTGGATATTCCTTAACTATCGAGACGCCACTCGTGCAAAATTCAACACATCCAAAATACATAACAAGCATCTAAAAAACATAAAATAAACAAGATAATGTAATTTAATAAATAAAACAAATAAAATTGATCTTTAATTATAACTCGTCATAATCATTTTTTAAGGTTTCCTCTCCCTCAACCGATTTTGATTCATATTCACTTCCATCTTTTTCATTGGCTTCAACTAATTCTATATCTATAAACGATCCATTTAAATCGTTCAACGATCGCTCTTCGTCATCTTTCCGGATTAAATTATATTGAATTTTTAACTCATCTTCCTAAAATGATTCCGCATTTTGTTGGACACCAATAGATGATTCTAGCAAATCAATCATAGCACTAACTTTTATCTTACAAACAATCCACCAATCTCAACTATCACATTTCAAGCTAAGATACGTGACATAACACACTTAAGTCATTTGTGATACTAGAACAAAGAGTTTGTATCTCGTTGAAACTCTTTCTATAATTTATCTTTGTTAGTCTACCTCTCGCTAGTCTATACTACAAATGAACCCTAATTCCATTCGATACGTAATCAAACTAATCACATTTGAACACTAATGTTCTCTTGATTGGTAATATAGAATATTTTAATTGTAGAATTTTACTCAATATCCCATAATAATCACTCTTATCCGTATTATAATTAGATCTTTTAATACAACTTCAGCATTCATACTTACTCTGTTTGAACCATGTCTTTGTACACGAAACCTATATCGGTTCATAATATATTCCGACTATGACTTTACGAGTTTGTAAATGATATTTTCTAAGATCTTTTATGAGATATTTGGTCATAGATTTAGGTTATGCATATTTTGATCGTAAAATTGATATTCATAATAAAAAGTTTGGTTAACATTCAATGAATCCTACCTACTAACAAAACCTAATCTAAAATAAGGATACTCACACATTCACTAAACTATTTGACAAACTCGGTTTCAAGTCAATCCTTAACCTCATGCTCGAGCATGTAAGG